ACAATCATTTTTAAAAGTTACAATTATTTAGTAGAATAAAAAAAATAAGATTTAAAACACATACTAAATTTAAATGTTTTCAATGAATACAAAAAGTAATTCATTTCTAAAAAATAAAAATTAAAAATTAAAAATATTAAAAGTATATTTTTAATGTTAAAGTATCATTCATGTTACTGATTAAAAATAAGAACGATTGAGTACATTTTATTATTTATAATTATAATATAATATAAATAGTTATTCAGTGTTTTCTAAATTCAAAAGTCATCAGTTTTTTTTAAAATCAAATGAATACCTAAAAAAAGAAAACCTAAATATTGATCAGTGTTTATGAAATTTTACATAGATCGAAAAAAATTAAGGTGATTTGAAATAAAACAAAAACTATCCTAAACATCACAAATAAAATAATCTAATTAAAGAAGAAATTGTGTAATAATAATATTTGCGAATCTTATTTGGAAATTAGAATAGTAATGGTATATTGACGAGTTTTTAATTAGAAGTAAAAATAAGGATTAAAAATGTATTTTAAAATTATCATGATTTATATGAGTTCGTAAGTTACGAATTTTACGAAAATCAATATTAAGAATACTATACGGAATCATAATATATGTCAAATTATATATGTGAATTTGTTTTTTATATTTTTCAAAATTTGATGTTGAAATCCGCTGTTTGTGAATAAGAATGAGTCCATATATGAGATTTGTTGTCTATAGAGTAGTTTTACATGCACCAAACATGGACAAGAAAACCTTTATGACAAATATCATGCAACTTATAAAAAAAATTTGAGTATTGAAAGATATGAATGAGAAACTATATACGATCTATCTTGAGAACTAATTCATAGTCGAGTGGATGTCGAGAGACGAAGAGTGAATCATAGAAGATAACAAGAAAAATTATAGTGAAAAGTGTAAAAAAAATATTTACTACTATGGAAATATAATGAAAATGAGTAAAGTAAATTCTTTTAAAAATCAAATAATTCAAAGATTCGTATTGATAAAAAATTTAAATTAATCCCGCACATTGTGCGGGTATATAATCTAGTATATATAGTAATGTAAATGTATCTCTAAATAAGTGCTTAGTTATTAATCAATTATCAACCAAATCTACGACATTTTTGTGGGGATATTATAGTGTTTTTTAGCTAATGTCATAGTCATCCCTAGTGGACGTTTCTTGTATTGTCCATAAATATATAAGGCTCTACGTAAGTATATGCATATCCACATAGAACCATATTTTGCAATCTTGGCTTATAAGTCGCAATATATGGGTCTCCACCAAGTGACGAGTTGGTGCAAGTTGCATTTACATATTTTTTTTAATCATTATTGTTTGACGTTTATTATCTAAATGAGATTAGGTATATTCGTCAAAAAATCATGAGACAACTAGTCGATATTAAGTTAAGAATTAGTATAAAATTTTAATAAAATTGAGATTTATTTTCTTAATTTCTTAAAGTCAAATCTAAGACAGATAAATATAAGCATTTAAATTTATTCTCCAAGTGATATAACCTATCAAAATACAAATATTTGACCGGCCGGCCGTTTTTGATTTTTTTGTTTTGTTTTTGTTTTGTTTTTTCATCTACTTCAACCCTCGCCAATTTGATCTTACCCTTGTAAAATAAATATTGTTGTAAAATTCAAAAAAAATAAATATTGTTACTATGTTTTATCAGGTAATATATTATATCTTTTGCATTACAAATTATCCCCCAAAAATTTAAAAATTATGAATGATAAGTTATGATAAATTTAGGGGTGTCAAAATGGTTTAAAATTGATGGATCAATCCAAACCAATCCAACTCATGGATCTAATGAGTTGAAAATTTGGATATTAATGGATTAAATGGTTTAATGAGTTGGATTGAAATGGTTTGGTTTAAAATGGATTAATGGGTTATCCATAACCAAATAAATAAAAATTAAATAATTGAAATCAAATATGTAAACCAAATATAACCGAATTAAATAACTAAACCGATTTAAGTAAACCGAAATAAACATAATTTTCTTAAATCGCTTAATCATCGATCTCTCTCGGCGTCAAATCTCTCACTGTCGATCTCTCTCAATCTTATGGTTTCACCGGCAAATCCATCGACAATGTTAAACGACGAAGCCAACAACGCCGTTCACCGGCAAAGCCACTGACACTAGAATAATTGTATTAAAATTACAGTAAAATATATTAAAAAAAGAAATAACTTATAGAGAAAATGAAATAAACTAAGTTTGCTAAATTAAGATAAATACAAAATACATTTATTAGTAAGGAATTGTGGGAGTATTGATTTCTTTTTTGACAATCAAAAATATAGATGTGGGAGTATTGTTTAAAGTTTGGAGTTTGCGTAAATAACATTTTAACGTGAAAACATATCTTGTGATTGGAACAATGCGAGAAAATAATTGGTTGGAAAGATGCGCCAGATCATATTTGCTACACTCAATAATTATAGATACAGAAATGCAATTGCATTTTGCAGGTTTCTATCATTAATGAGGTCCTCATTAATTAATACATTTATAAAGAAACTTGATTACTAAATTTGATTTTGAGTAATGTCTTCGCATTGACCGTACGCTGCAATCCATTACCACGTTTTTGGGGTCCAATTTCACTTGCCATCTCCATCATAAACTAAAATAAAATGTTAGTCCAAAAAAAAAAAAAAAAAAAACTAAAATAAAATGTCAATTACATATGCAATTTATCTTGATAACATTTTTGACTGATATCTTATTTTGTTTTAAGAACGATTAAAATCGGATGGTGATTGTTGTATACATTATTTAAATTTATTATCAAGTTGCATTAGTTTATTGTACTCCCCTTAAAATATTGACAACAACATTTATTTTTATCAACTAATTTGGCTTAGATTACATTCACCGGAGACACGGCGTCGCATGTGTCCATGTGTCCTGTCTGTACCTTTCCCGGGAAATTCGTACGGAGATTCACCGCTTTACGCTTTCGTTTGCTTTTAAATTAATCTAAATCATAGAAGCAAATTGTGTATTCCTCACTCTAAATTTAAACGAAACCTCTTGATTTGCTTACAAAATTTTAAGTACATGTTACTAAGAGTTTGAATGGTTATGGTGGTTGGGACGGACAAATCTGTTTGTAGATTGAACTGTTTTTTTGTTTATTATTCATAATTTGTAGTATCTATTGGTGGAGACAGAAAAATAGAAAAAAAAAATTGTGCATACGTACTAACCACTTTTACATATTATGAACTTGGTTCACGATGGAGTGTTGAAAAATGGTCTAATTCACTAATAGTCCACTTCGCTAGCAACATTTATTCAAACCCTAAATGTAAAACGAAAACATGCTATGTGTAGAAAGTAAAATGTTCAAAAAATACTATTCACTGGTTGTCCCCAATATATAATACTTTTGTGGTCCGTTATGTATATGCAGAACTTTTGAAACATTTATAGCTTTGTCTCAAGCCTGTCTTTTTGTTTTCCTTCTTTAGTTTTCGCTGAATCACATATCTATTTTTCATTTTTCTCCGTTACTTGGAGCCTTGAAAAGTGAATGCTTTGAAAACTAGCTTTTGGACTTTTACTAGTCTTCTACAATTATTTCAACATTTCAAGAAGATTCGACATAATTATACGTACCAACCACAACTAATGGACTTATACACTTACATAAATCAGGAGATGTGTTACATTTCTGAGTCACCTCCCATGACATTTTGACTTTGAATATTTATCGGAAAAAGCTCATAAGTCATAACCAAATTCTAACGACATCTTTCTGCCATCATTAATTTAACTTTGTTAGTGATTATTTTGTGGTCCTTTAGTTATAGAAAAGTTAATAAAAATCCAATTCGAATATAATTTCATCGTTCCTCATTGGCGCATTATCTTCGAGTCATTTTCATATCTTCAGCATTTTGTTTCCAAACACATTTATCACGATCATCATTAATTATTGATATGCATAATAATGTAACAACAAACGCATTAATGTCGAGAATTCTTTTTAATAGTACTCCATCTTTTTCATAAAATTAAAACGGGAAAAATGTCATTTAAATCATCGGTTTACTATTTTCTTTGGTTTAAAACATGAATTTTAGAGTAGGTGATTTAAATCCTCATTTTATGTAGATCTGATGATTTAAATCCTCAATTTTATGTTGACTTTCAATTTAATCACGAATTCTCGTTGACTAAGCCAATTGAAGCACATTGTTAATTAGCTAAACAGAGCAATCGAACGAAGAGAAAGATGGAAACTATGTTGGTGTAGAAAAAAAATTATGTGATAGCTTCGAAGTACCAATTATGTGATGACTTCGTCTTATTGATCCGTTTAGCCAGTTAGCGATGTGCCTCAATTGGCTTTATTAATGAGAAATCATGATTAAAAATGAAAATCAACATAAAATTAAGGATTTAAATCACCAGGTCTAGAATTCATGATTTAAACCAACAAAAATTGTAAAGTGATGATTTAAATGACATTTTTCTCAAATTAAAACCTACTTTCATCATATACTTCTCTTACGAATTCACTTCTATCCTTATTGGAGTATTCATGGGCCTTACGTCTAAAGGCCCATAACAAACCGATTAAAAAGCAAAAAAGTTTTACCCATCAAAAACATTGAAATGGTTTCAAATATCTCGCAAGATCCATTGAAAAGGAGGAATCTGATTATATGAACCTAGTGCACAAAAAAAAAAAAAAAAAGATTATATGAACCTCATTTTGGTATAATCGATTTTGCAATTTATTACAACCCCAAAATTCTGAATGTTTTAGTCTATATATTCTCATCGACTTGGATACTAGAACAAATTAATTTAATTCCTTCATGCAGCGGTATTGTCCATGTTTATTCCCTAACTTTAATTTTATAAACGAGTTTAAATTAATCTAGTTCTTCTTTTCAAATCTATACACATGGATGTAACATAAGTAATCGATATTATAATGTTTTTTTTTTCCCATAAGGCGTTTATATAGACTTTTCTTACAACGGACCACTACTTCAGTTACCTTTTCACATTCTTATATTAATTTACACTGACGACTGCAAAAAAAAAGTCATCTCATCACCAAGTTTTGAAAACAGTACTCTAGTCTATACTAACAAAACTTTAAAAAGAATTCTAACTAAATTAATTATATACTACTAGGAGCAATTCAAATCAAGTAGACGAAACTCGTGATGATTGTGATCTGATCTGTCTATTGAACCGTTGGATGAATTCTTCGACTCGTTTGTTTAACTCCTCGTTGGACAATTTTGAAAACTCTTCAGATTCTTCTTTAACATTTTCCCACTTCTCCGGAATAACCATCCTTGTCGAGCAATCTGATTTCCTTCGACCATAACTTTTACGTTTGGTCGTCTCTGTACCTTCGCTGAGCCTCTTTCTCCGTGGCTTATCTGATCTACTTCGCCCGTACGGTTTATTAGGGTTCACATGGTTTCTTGCGTCACAAGCTTCTTCGCTAGCAACAGTTTGATCTGTAACCTGTTTGAAATTCTCGATAGCTAAAACGTCTCTCGGTTTCTCCTCGTTCACCACTGTCACTATTTTCTCGGGAGGATAAACGTAAACGATCTCTTTCACCATCGGTACTCCTTCTTCTTCTTCTTTAGGGTTCTTGATTTTTGCATCTCTAAGGTTTTCTCTCTGTCTTGAAACGGGAATCGGAGAGTAGTAATCAGCACGGCTTCTCATCGTTGCGGTGGCGGCTTTGTATTCACTGTAAAAGTCGTGACTCTCTTTATCAGAGAAGGCACCATAATCGGCGGCGATTATGAGGATGAGAGTATTGGAGATGAAGAACAAGACCTTTGTGTCTTTGAAGACCGAAGATGGTGATACTTCGAAAACGTAAAAGATCATAATGTATGTGAAGATCGATAAGAAGATGGTAAGCATCGAAGAAGTGTAATAACGTCGTTTCTTTGGCTTGTAAGGCTCGAACTTTGGGTTCTCGATCATGTACGAGGGCATTTCTGTCATTTTCACGTGCCAAGGAGGAAATGAGAGATTGAGAGATAGTGATGAAGAGTTAATGTGGCTGTGTTAATCTTTAGAGGTGTTGTAGCCTTTATATAGGAGGTTCTTGGATTGAATCATTGAGTTCCGGAAATGTCGAAATTACCCTTGAAATATATATTATTGTATTGATAGAGTTTTGACACGATTCTAGATTTTGACGCGTCATGGTGATTTACGTGGAAACTAATGGGCTCTCGTATTTGAAACATCCTGGTAGGTGCCCGGCAATTCATATTTAGTAATTAATATAGGATACATATCTTGTCTACCTGAGAAATTACATTGTATAAGAAAATGTTATGCTAAGATACAAAAAACTTAATTAATTCGGGAAACATAGTTTGTCAAGGCATCGATCACGCTCGAGCATTGGTACAGCAGAGTTTCGACACATCATCATTAGACAACAACACAATCAGATATATCAGTATAGCAGTATAGATCTAGATGTTGTGGAACTGAAATACCTATCATGATTTGATTTCTATGAAAACAGTCAAACACTAATCGCTTCTTCATTAAAATAAAATAAAAATAAATATATGAAATCAGAAATCAGTACGAAAGAGTAACCGGACTATAGATAATATTTTAGTTTCTTATTGTCATACACATTTATTCATAGATATGTATGCGTGATAGCTAACTATTCTTCCACGTACTACACGTCAAATGAATTACCCATTTTTAATATTGACTCATCTTGTGATTCACTATTACTTTACGAATAAAATATATGGAAATCTGGTTCAATGGGATATATATCGTACCTTTCGATGATACTATCGTACCATATGATAGGTTGTTTTTATTACAAGTTTTGGTGAAAAATTGAAAAGATTAATTATCTTCTAAACACATATATACTTCCAAACAAACTTATTAACAAAAAAATATATTTTTTTTTGTATTTTTTATTTGGAAAGTTTTACCTGATTTACTGAAAAATAATTCTAAGAAAAAAATAAATTATTTATTATAAATAAATTCACCTCAGGAGTTTCCAAAAAAAAAAACCTTCCACCTTAGCGCTTTTAGCATTAAATATTGCTAATCCAATTTTTCGACTAACATCTTGACTTTTATTTTCTGAACTTTGGTATATCAGTCACTTTTGCTAGATTATTGAGTTAGTAATGAATGAATTTCTTATTACTCTAACCAACTTTTACTTAGTAGACTTTTCCAATAGTTCTTATCTAAGAAATGGAAACTTGAAGTTATTAGAAAGCATAGTGACACAGGATTAGAGAGATCTGGACTATGGCATGATTGATGTTTCGACTTCTCCGGCGAATAAATTTATTGTCCGTAGCTGATTCGGTTGTTTATGTTTTGGTCTAGGCAATTAAGTAATTAAGTAATAACCTTAGTATATTTGCAGATAATTTCGAGGCAATTTGTTGTTCATCTCTAAAATTAGTTGACGACCGAAAACTTAAGTATTTTGTTAGTTACCACAAGTTTAAGATAGTAGAACGCAATGTATAACACTAGCCACGTTGCAACTGCATCAGCAAGTTGGTTTGTCTTTTAGTAGTCCTATATATTTCAGTTCAATTTCTAGTCATCACCTTAGTCTTCCTTATAATTATTACTATAATAAGATATTTTCAATTAAGTCATTGTTTTATCATTTATGATTGACGTGGTAACGAAACGCATAATCTTCCATACAAATATTCTTCATATATATCATGTGACGGCTAATCATTGTTGTTTTATTGTTGTTTATGACCTATGTAAATATTTATAAAGTCTCCATAAGGAAACTAGAGGTTAAAATTGGTACTAAGAACATAAAATTGATGTCTTAAATTTGAGCTCCGACGGAAAAACCGAAGAATTTCTAGAACAGTAACATCGTGTATCCCTTGATTGATGATATAAGAGACTAACCACTTTATTAGATTTTATGCGATACCATAAACAAAACTATTTATCCATACATAAAATTAAAAATAGTTGCTAGTAATTTTCTAGGAAAGTAACTTCTCGTTGAACTGTCTTCTAACAATAAACAATAAATAAGTATTTTGTCGGAATTCATTTAGTGTTGTGATAAAGGGACTTCTGACGATAGTCTCCAGTTCACATTCTAAGGTAGGATAATTTGGTCTACCAACTTAAAGACATTCTGACAGTCTCTAGTTCACATTATGTAGTAATATCCCTAAAAGTTGTACGTTGGCTCTATATATGTTATAAAAGGTCCTTTTCATATATAGTCTCTAGTTCACATTTTAAGATACGTAAAGTTTCTAGTGCTTTTGTCTCAACCATTACGTTGTAATATCTGTAAAACTTGTAAGTTGGGTCTAAGCTAAATCATACATACGGTTTAACCAAAAAATTAGAGTATTTTACATTCCATCGAAATTTCTGCAATATTAAAGAAGAGGTTTGAATTGAAATTTAGAATCGAGTTATTTTTTATGATGCCTAGTGACCTACGATATTTATTAGTTTTCATTAACAAATTTATAACACATGAATCTACTATATATATCTTAGAATAATATAGTGTCAAGACTCAAGAAAACATCTACATGAGGAAACTTTTTTTTATTTTAGTTTAGCAGTGAGTAATTAATTTAGCTCACAACCATCTTTTTAACTCATTAAAAAAAAAACTCTTTTCAATACTCCGTTTCATATTATGTAATGTTATATATATATATATATATTTATTCAAAAATTAAAGTTTTGTTTTTAAATTGAGTTTTCTGGCTATTTAGATTTTGAGCGTATTTTATTATTGGATAAATTGTTTTAAATCAAGTATTGAATTATGTTATAAATATAAACAAAAGCAAAAAATAATACTCCCTCCGTTTCACAAAGAGTGTCGTTTTAAGGTTTTATTTTTGTTTCACAAAGAGTGTCGTTTTAGGTTTTCAATGCAAAATTTAATGATTTTTTATGTTTTATGACTATTAGTATTCTGCAGATTGTTTTACTATTAGGCAGATTGTGTTTAAGTATATAGGTAATGATGTTTTTGTTTAGAAAAAACAAAAAATTTAATGTTTTCTTAATCTGTGTGCAAAACTCTAAAACGACACTCTTTGTGAAACAGAGGGAGTAACAATTTAATTTAACTAAAGATTTGATCATCACTAGCTACAAATCGATGTCATGCATTTATTACGAATTGATCACAGATTTCGTAACATTTCACAAACTTAGAATTGTAGCAGTAACTCCAATACATATTGATCAATTGGTAATTGATTTGATGAAATTCAACTACAAAAATGAGATATAGTCTTATTTACGATCTATAACTATAAACACTAGGACTCATGACCCCCGCGATATCGCGGGAGAATATATTTCAAAAATCATTTAAAAAAATATGAAACGAAAAAACCATAATGAATTGTAATAATTTTGAATTTTTTTAATAACAAATCAATATATATTTTGAAAAAATTATGATAAAGAAAACCCTCACAAGCATTTATTAAGTATATTAATATTAGAAAAACAATAATTTGTAACTAAAAAACTATTCTCAAGTGCAAAAAGCATAAACTAATAAACCAAATATTAAAATGGTTTGATAAATAAGCCAAAAAGTTCAACGTCAAATAAACCAAATGCTATATTGTTAAATTAAACGGTAACAACAATTCATTTAAATATATTTTAGTATGTTGGTAACAACAATTCATTTAAATATATTTTAGTATGTAAATATTTTTTAAAAATATGACGTACTTATCCGAGAAACGCAACCGTAGATATCAAATATTCCAAAACTGCAACGGTTCGTCAATTATACCAAATGTTGCAATAGTTCATCAAATATACTAAAGATAATAATGGTTCGTAACACAAAACCAAAAGTTGCAATAATTCGTCAAATAATCCAAATGTTGAAACAGTTCAATTAAATAGTTATAATCTCATTTAAATACATTTTAGTAATTAAAAATTAAGAATTTAAATAATAATTTATGAAAAGTTACACCGAGAGGCGGTAGATAATTAAATGTTATAGCTATTTATAAAATAAACCAAAAATTGCAATTGTTCGTGAAATAAACTAAATATATAAACCAAAGGTTACAATTGTTCGTAAAATAAACTAAATATTGCAATGATTCGAATAAGCGGTTTCAACTGTTTATGAAGAGTTACAATAAAAAACGCAACCGTAGAAAACATTCAGAATGCAATTTATAAAAAAAAAACATAACTGTAAAATATATATTTTAATTAATAAAAACATTAACGAAAAGTTGCGATAAAAAGACGCAACCGTTCAGATGTGCAAATGGTATTTATTAGATTGCTATTATATATAGATTACCTCCAGTTGACAAAAAAAAAACACACATAACTGGTAACTGATTTTGATATATAACTGTGAAAAATACAAATGTTGGACTTCGTCTTTAGGTTTTGGACTAAACCTATCTTTGATAATATCTAACTTATTCTATATAGAGTCGAAGTGCCCTTAACCCAAGAATTAGCTCCGTCGTGGAAGAAAGTTTTCAAATTCTAAAGTCGAATGGTCTAGACGCGATTAAGGTATCATAAAACGTCCCTAAAAATATAAATAATAATATGCATACAGATGATCATGAACCGATCTATCTTTGTCAATAAAGATGATTCTCGAATGAGAAAGAAGAAACATCAAAACAAGCTGCATTTATAGCTTGTGTTCTTGGTTGTGATTATGTTCCACTTTCTCGGAGCACGTGAGTAGTTCATTCTCAATCGATCAATCCTTTATCCACCATACCATTTTCATCTTTCATAATCAAAGCTCCATTTTTCTTGGTCTTATCTCCATTACACAAATCACAAATTCAATAAAATATTGAAAGAGCAACTTGGATGAGTTTAAGATAAAGAACAAAAACAATTTGTTGGCACAAAATCTATTTGTAGCAACATTTTATGGAAACGGATTTGAAACAAAATGTTTTTGATTTTGTGTATGTGTATTTTTGAAAATATTATCGGGTATGGCACGTATTTGAGATATTGTTTGAAGATAAAACATAATGGCTTGGAAATGATAGACTTTTAATTTATCAAAATATGATAGAATTTTAAGAAATATTTATCTAATGCCATTAATAACTTTTTTTTTGTTTTCCAAGAGAAGAGTGGAACACAAAACTCATATAAGAGAATTAGGTTTTTAAGACTTATAAAAAAAGACTTTAGAATATGAGAAAGAATTGGATATCTTTAGAATAGGCTTGTAGCCATTTGGCTCTTTTAATGAAAACAAAATATGTATAGAAATTCGGCTAAAGAGAAAAGGAGATAAGAAGTCACTACAAGAAAATTGTGATATTGCAACATAGAAAATTATTGCAATAAATCAATATATCGTTGCGAATAATAGAATTGCAACAAAATTACGACCAACTGCATCTCGTTGCTGATTGAGCGTTGCAAATTCATGTTCGTCGTACATACGTTACAAAATTTGCAATGAATTAATTTCTCGCTAAATATGTTGTATTAATGCAACAACATTTTTGTAATAAATTGGTCGTAAAATTACAACGTATGTTTGCAACTTTGAATTATCGTAAATCATTGTCATGGAAAACGTATAGCAAATAACCGTAGCAAATTTATGATAACTAATTTGCTAGATACCTTCGTTGCATAAATTTTGTTATGATGACCAAAACAAAATTCATCGTAAGTATTGTCACATACAACTAATATTTAGCATTGTTATGACAATGTATGGTCATAGTTCTTTTGTGAATCAG